CCAAATCTAGGAACGTAAGCAACTTGCAGGGGAAAAAAGAGCAGTTGCCGGGTGCACAAACAAGCCGAAATTTGCGAAAGTCCGCCCCTCCCCACATCCCCCACCCCCTGCACCCCCTCGCCCCCTGCGAGGGGGTCCCCATCACACACACACACACACACACGCACACACACAGACATAGATTGACCCTCGAAAACCGCACCCGCACCTGCTCTCACACTTGCACCCGCAACCCGCACTCTGTTGAGCCACGTCCTGTAGTGTCCGATCATCACCACCTTCAGCGTGCATGCGTGAAAATGTTGTCGCACAGTTCCCATCGTTTGTCTTGGGATTCGATGATTCGCTCAGGTGCACCCAGACAAGGCTCCGGAGGAGCTTAAGGCACTTCTCTGTCCACTCATCCGTTTCGTGAATAGGTAGAAAGCACAGGCACGAGCCAAAGCGGCTTTTGAAAAAGTGGAGAAGGCAGCTGCAGACGTTGAAGTGCGTGGCCAAGCTGCCTCCCTTGCCATTATGTTTGCTCTACTGAGTTTACTGCTACTGAAGACGCAGGCATTCTGCGAAACAGATGTGGAGGCGACCGAATGCCTCCATCGCATCCTCCATGCTGCCTGCGGCTGAGAAGCACGTGCAAAGCCACGAAATCAATCTGAAGCATTCCTAAGTGGATTGATGCAGCTGTCAGTCAGGCCGGGCCAAGAAGAGCCTCCATGTCGCGAGTCGTCGGCTTGGGTCGCACGTCCGTGGTGTTGGCCGGACAGATGCCATGGATTGTGTGTGATTTTTTATTCGTGAGATGCGGTCTACTGCACCGTACGACCTGCAAAAAACTCTATTGAATCTCCACGCCGCACACCCGTACCAGGCCAGTGCACTGCCTCATTGTGCCGGCGAGTCAAGCTCTTCATGCCCCAGAGATCCCAGAGTAAGCGTAGCAAGAGTAGTAGTAACAGTAGTAGTTGCAATAGGAAGCAGTAGTGGTAGTAGTAGTAGTAGTAGTAGTAGCAGCACTAGTAGTAGTAGTAGTAGTAGTAGTAGCAGCACTAGTAGTAGTAGTAGTAGTAGTAGTAGTAGTTGTAGTAGGTAGTAAGTAGTAGTAGCTAGTAGTAGGTAGTAGTAGGTAGTAGTAGGTAGTAGTAGGTAGTAGTAGGTAGTAGTTGTAGCGGTGGAAGTAGTAGTAGTAGCAGTAGTAGTTGTAGTAGTAGTAGTAGTCGTCGTCGTCGTAGTAGTAGCAGTAGTAGTAGTAATAGTAGTAGTAGTCGTCGTAGTAGTAGTAGTAGTGGCAGTAGTCGTCGTCGTCGTAGTCGTAGTAGTAGTAGTAGTAGTAGTAGTAGTAGTAGTAGTAGCAGTCGTTGTAGAATCAGTAGTGGCAGCAGCAGCAGCGCAGTAGCAGTAGCAGTGGCAGTGGCAGTAGCAGTGGCAGTAGCAGTAGTGGCAGCAGCAGT